AACTGGACTTTGCTTATAGATGCAGATGCTCAAAGATACCAAGTTGAACCGAGGATTCTTCTGCAAAAAGGACATGCTTATTCCCTCAGAGTATGGGTTTGTTAGGGCAAATTAGAAATTGGCTATCTAAAACAGGGGATATTAGGGCATGAAGCATGACGTAGCTGGCTTACATGCTTTCATGAAGCAAGTTATTAGTACAGCTATGAGATATCATCTCACCCCAGTAAGACTAGGAAAATTTAACAGAACAGCAAGCAACAAATGCTGGCGAGGTTGTGGAGAGACTGGAACCCTTATTCACTGTTGGTGGGAGTGTAAAATGGTGCAACCAGTGTGGAAAGCGGTGTGGTGCTTTTTCAAAGAGTTGCAAATAGAGATACCATTTGACCTAGCAATTCCACTACTGGAAATCTACCCTAAAGAGACCATAACCACCATACAAGCAAATATATTAACCCCATGTTTATCATGGCTTTGTTCACAAAAGCAAGGAGTTGGAAACAACCTAAGGGCCCATCAACAAAAGAATGGATAGAGAAGCTGTGGTATATTCACACAATGGAATACTACACTGCATTGAAAAACAAGGAACTCATGCAATATTATTCAAAATGGTTGACCCTCCAGGACATTATGCTAAGTGAAATATCTCATGCACAAAAGGACAAACACTGCATGATGCCACTGCTGTAGAATGGGACTGACATCAGGGTTAGGGTAAGAATGAGAAAAACTGGATGAATTATGTATGCTGCATTGAAACAGATGAGGGAAGAACAGTTTAAAAGCAATATATTTTAGGGCATTATGATTATCATAAGAGTCCGGAATGAAGGTTGCAGAGTGGAGTATACTCGGAGTTTGTGTGTGTGTGTGGGGGGGCTTGTATACCAATGAAGGAATTTTTCTTTTGCTTTTAAAGAAGAGCGAATTGGGGGTAGGGGTGGGGTGTGCAAGGAGAAAAGGGCAAAAGTGCAACAATGAATGAATGGAAATCCAAAATCTCTGTAAATGTTCACTGACATTAATAAAAATAAAAGTCAGAAAAATAATCCCACAATGTGCATGAACAAAATTTGCAAATGGAACTAATTTACATAAATACTTTTTTAAAAAACCTGATCTTTTTTAAGAAGATAATTTTTAAATGATGAGGGTTTTTTTTTAAATCACCTGAGAGACAGCTCATCATATGGGAGATACGAACTATCCATCTTTGGGTAGGCAGTGCAACTCCTTACCCACTAGGTCACCAGAGCTCCCTGGAGAATATATAGCAGGTACTGAATAACTATGAGTTGAATGAACAAATCAGTTACTGAATGGGTGAATATATGGGCATCAACACGTTTGAAGTTCTGAACAAAATGGGAATGTGATAAAAATTGTGTCTAAGTATCCTTATAAATCTGAAAACAGTTATATTTTAAAAAACGAAGGAGAAAACCATCAATAAGGCTTGATGAAGAATTAGAAAAGAATTTTAACTGGATAAGGCAGAAGGAAAATACATTGAGAGAAACGAACATGATATAGACATGTATGGGGAAGCACATGCCTCTTAAGAGCCAATGAAATACACAGAGAACATTTACACAGAGAACATTTAGCATCATTTAGGCTCAAGCATAAATTGCTTAGCATTAAAAATGGACACCTCTGTGAAATTAAGTACCAATGTTTGGGTATTTTTTAAACTATAAAAGTGGGTCTCAGAATCCTTCATAAAGCAGTGAACCAAGCGTAATTTTTCACTTTAAGATAATAGAACTTGGAGGAACACAGGGTTGCTTTATTTTCAGGTATCTCGGGAGTTATTTGTTAATTGTGGCAACTTTTCACTATGAAATAACTCCAGCTGAGGCACTGACTAGATTTACAATGCAAGTACCTAAGCACCTTGGGTTGTTGTTCTAGATTTTACCTAACCTACTTCTTAATCACCCCAGATTGCTTCCTCGACTGCTTCTCACAGCTAAACCCTGCCATTCACGATGGATTGGCTGATACCCTTATTTCAACCAAGTGTCAGGAAATAAACGAATTTTCTTTGAGGCAAAGAATTACTTCTTCCCCCCCCCCATAACCAAGTGATTAGGACACATCCTGTATTATTAGAAAGAATTCTTTAAAGGCCGTAACCATCGATCTGGACATTTACATTCTAGAAGTTGCCGCATCTCGAATAAGCTAAGCTGTTTTCTACTTGATTAATGACAGCAAGAATTAAACTTCACTTGCCGGCCTATGGGAAAATGCTGAGAATGAAGAGTCTATATTTTGGCTGACATGCTGTTTGCCACTTTCAATTGTCCTTTTATTTCATCAAATTCACATGAAGGAGAGTGATGTTTCTGTCTTGGAGGGCTCAAACATCTCCCTCTCTCTGATAAAAAACAAAACAAAGCAACAGAATAGCCTTCTTTTCTTTATTTTACCTACCAGTATCTTTTCCATCTCACACATTTAATTCCTTTTTTTTAAGATGAGAGATGGTGTGAAAATGGCCTTTGTCGTCACTGACCTATCTTGGTCACACACTGACCTATCTCAGAGCTCAAGCTGCAGAAAGCTAATGGATACTTCTCGAACTTTGAAAATGCCTTTGCCCAGTGCTGCCCCCACCCCATCGCCTAAACAGTGATATGAAATCCACGGACAAAACAGAGTGGTAAAATGAGTGTCTTGGAACCTGAGGGCATGCCTGGGGATGGGGAGCAAGGGGAAATTAGAAAGTTTTAAAATTTCTTTTCTACTCCTAGAAACGTACTTCTCTATTGCATCTTTTGACTTATGACAGACTTTTGTTAAAGGTCACCGATGTTCTTTTCTTCCTTCTTTTATACGTTTTGTGTAAAATGCTGCTTATATGTTCCAACTCTGGACCTAGACTCCCTGGATCAGAGATCTTATATTCTGTGTGATCTTGAGCAAGATAACTAACCCTCTCTGTGACTCAGTTTGTTTGCTGTGTTGTTGTTGTTATGTGCCACTGAGTCGCTTGCAAGTTACAGCAACCCTACGTACAAGAGCTCTAAATGCTGTTTTATCCTGCGCCAACCTAGCTATCTCAAACGCACTTATTCCCACCGCTCTAGTCACAGAATCGATCCATCTCACCAAAGGTCTTCCTCTCCTTCGCCACCCCTCCACTCTGGCAAATATGTCCCTCTCCAAGGACCAGTCCCTCCTTGCAACATGTCCAAAGTATGTCAGACGAAGCTTCAGAATCCTTGACTCCAGGGAACACTCTGGCTTCACCCTCTCCAGGACAAACCTGTCTGTTCTCCTAGCAGTCCATGGTATATTCAACACTCTTCTCCAGCACCACAGCTCAAAGGCATCAATCCTCTTTCCATCAACCCTATTCATTGTCCAACTCTCTGATACGTTGCACATAACTGTGAAGACTATAGCCCAGATCAGGTGCACCTTAGTCTCCAGCTTGACAGTTTGTTTAGAAGTAAAAAAGAGATTCTGATAGGCTACACCTCTTTGAATTGCAGAAAATATTATTGTTGTTATGTGCCGTTGAGTCATGTGTGACTTGTAACAACCCTATATGTACAGGAGCTCTGAAGCTTGTCCTTTCCTGAGCCAGTTTCACTGACTCTCACATGCCTAATCCCATCACCCCAGTTACAGTGTCAATCCATCTCATCTGGGGTCTTCTTCTCCTGTGCTTTCCCTTCCACCCTTCCAAGCATGATGTCCTTCTCTAAGGAACAGTCTCTCCTGGCCATGTGCCCTAAGTACGTGAGACAGTGCTTCAAAATCCTAGCCTCCAAGGAGAAACTTAGTTTCACCCTCTCCAAGACAGACCTATTTGTTCTCCTGGCGGTCCATGATATGTTCAAGACTCTTCAGCACCACAACTGAGTTAATAAATATTAAGAGCTTATAACACAGAACAGTATATAGGTGTGCAAAGGGTTAGCTATTATCATTACTGTTAGTTTACATTAAGTGCAGACTTGGATAATAAGCTTTTTAAATTAAAACAAGTTCAGTTAATTCATTCTGCTTTACGGAAATAAGTGTGTTCTGTGCAGTAGCAGTGGGGCAGTTTAGAAACAAAAATAGATTTTCTGTAATTTTACCACCTAAAAGTTATTATTCCTCGTTTTCAGTTCATTCCCTCATAGCCTCTATTAAGTTCATTTGTCTTCTACATAAGGAAAAAGCACAGTATGTTTTCATAAATAGAAGGAACTTTCCCCCACTGATTGAAAACATGGAAGTTGACTCATACTTCTTGATACTTCCTAGGTAATTTATATAACACTGGACATTCCAATTACTAGCTCTGCTTTGCTGGGCCACCACGGAACTCTACCACAAAATGAATATAGCAAGAACATCATTCGGTCTTCCTCACAAGGAGGCAGAGATGTGTACGCTAACTCCTCCAAAGAAAGTTGAACCACAGAAGGGGCTTACATACAGAGTAGATGAGAATAGAGCAGGTAATGGCTTGGGCTCCATAGGGTGTATTGAAACAAAATCTCAGAGGGAGTAAATGACAGGCCATCTCTCCTTCCTTCTCCTGAATTGCAGGAATTATGGAGGTCTCCTCTAATTTGGTAATTACAAGGTGTTATTAGTATTTAAAACATGTCCTCTGTTATTCATTTAGAGGGATGCCAAAGAAAGAATTCCACAATAAATATACATTAATATGATCACTTCCTGTATAACTGTGATAAGCCAAGAGAGAACGCGATGAAATTAGTATACTGTGTTCCTCATTTACATTCATTCTAATGGCTTAATATGCATCTCTCCTGTGGTTATCAAACATCACCATTTTAATCTAATCTGAGCCCTCAAGTATCATCCCCATACTAGGAAAATGAATGATTCATTTATTCAAAATAAAATGAATCATTCTGAAATTGGGTGATTTGCATAAACAGAGGAGACATTAGCTACTTGGGCACGAAGAAGATTGCCATTTTCACTCATTTCTGCCTGTTTTGCTCCTGATCTTTGCTTACCTGATGTTGAGAGACTTTTTCCGCAGCTCGCTCCACTTGAAGTTCATGGTGTCCAGACGTCGTTGGAGCATGACTGCATCATCTGACCCTTCAAGGGATCTCAGGATTTTTTGTCCATTTTCATCCAGGTTATGGTAGATATCTGTGTGAGCTTCGATTTCCCCTTGGAGGTCCTAGAGGAGTCAAGACATGAAAAACGTGCGTGAATACCAAACAAAAGCGACCTGTTAGCAAGGTGAATTGGGAGAACTGAACAATGGAATGGACTAGTTCAAAGGCCATTTCCATCACGCTGCTACCCAGCAAATACATCTCAAAGGAATAAGCCATATAATGAGGTATAACAGGTGTTCTCTTTGTCATTACAAATTTGACAGTAATGCATTCTCCTGCCCCTTTCTTTCACTAGTAATTTAATTTTTTTTCCCTTGGAATTGTGCTTTTTTCATGGTTTTATTTTATTTAAATAAAAATTTTATTTTATCCTGGCTTACTTACTAAGTTCATACACATGGTTTTTCACACAGGACCGCTCCCATTTCTTTTATCAGCCCCTCCCTCCACCCATCAAATTGTGCATCCATAGAATTAACTACCTAGTCATGTATTATTTCTTAAACGGCAAATTTCAGAAAGTGTAGTTTCTATTCCACGGGAATGAAACACTATTTTAGGAAACTGACACGGAGGGGGGAAAAAAATAGACCTCGATAAAGCCTATCTCCATGCCAATCATTTCACTGCACTGCAGGTCAAGTTGCATTTTCTATGCACATATTTCCTGGGGAGTTGCCTCTGATCAGAAGAGCATGGAGAGGCTAATAGAGAACAAATAAATAAATAAGTAAATGGCACAGCATCAGCACAGCAATGAGATTCTAGAAGAGCAGAGACTCTTCTTGACAATACACACATTAAGTTCTCCTGGGTATCACAGCAGCATACATTTAATAGTACAGCCTCCCAGTTAAAAGAACCAATGTAATTTTAGATTTGGCAGGTGCAAAGTCCACAGGACCTTGCTAAGAGTTATGCATTCAATCTCATTTGTATATACATAGACACCAAGAAAATTATCATAGGAGAAGCAGCTGACCTTTACATGGTATGTCTTCCTGTGTAACATTTTCAGCCTGAGCCGGGGACTACAGCACTGATCCTGTTGCATAGCAATCCCGAGGAGACCCAGCGACCGAAAGCGCCCTGCTTTAAAATGCCAACTTTGCTTACATTCTGTTGACAGAATGAATTTCGGGCCACAGGCCTCACCAGTCAATAATAATAAACAGCGACTTTGTGCTCGTCGCTAAACGGTAGCCAGGCTTGTGGATGTGGGAGGGACTGCAGAGAGAGGAGGCCTGGAAAATGCAACTGACAGTTTATATTAAACAGCCAACTTTTCTTATCATTTTGCCATTATAAGCCAGAGACATTATAAATTCATTTTATATATGTGTTTCCCTCCTTGTTCCCAGCAGAACAGTCAAAGCCAAAGGAACATTCCTTAGAGAGCTGCCGGGTACCAGCATTCCTTTCTGCCTACACAATGAATGGAGGCTTTGTACATTATCTGACTTGCTCTTGGAAATTTGTATGCTTCTGTTCAACAAGTTTAAAAATTCATTCTGAAGCGCTGAACAATTGGATTGATCTGTGTAACGAGAAAAGTTAGGGTGGGGTGGGTGTTTTTTTCCTTTTCTCCCCTTCAAAATCGAATTAAATGACTCTTCTAAAGTTAAGGGGAAAGTGGAAGAGAAAACATGGTAGATAAAACATGGTAGAGACTCTGAAAAACTGACTTATTTTTTCAGTCAAACACTCGTAGCCGCCTGGGGTTTCGTCGTTGCAGAAGTGAGGTAGACGGCCAATTAATGCTTCCTGTCATGATTTCTGGCAGCCAAAGTACCAGTAATGGACCCTAAAGAAGAATTTTGTCCTATCCTCTTTGACTGGAAGACAGGAGAGGGAATATGGAGAGATACATATATATCTGAAGTGGAAAGGAGGGAAACATGAACTCATATTGAGTAGCTTCTCTTTCCAGCCCATCAAACCCAGGCTGGTTCACCAAGGATACAGCCTGGTTTGAAATTATCACATATGGCAGAACACTAATACTGGGCTTCCTGTAGAGCCTGCGCAGACAGACATCCAGGCAATGTTTGTAACTAACAACGGGGGTGGGGGGTGGGGTACCCAACATGCCACTTCTTCAGCCAAAGAGAAAAATGAGTTCACGTACTGGAATAATACAGGACTAAATAGCACCCATAGAGAAATCAGTGCCTTTGAGTTGTGTTGGTGAAGAGCACTGAACATCCCATGGACTGCCAAAAGAAAAAAGAAATCTGTCTTTGAGGAAGTGCAACCAGGGTGTCCTTTAGACACAAAGATGGTGGGATCTTGTCTCGTATTTTGAGACAGGACGGGGTCAGTTCTCAGAAAAGACATGTTGTTCAGAAAGGTACAGGGTCAGCAAAAAAGATTAACCCTCCTCAGGAGATGGACTGAAGCAGTGTAACCACGGGCTCCAGCATGGCTGAGAGCCTGAGGATTGTGCAGTAGCAGGCAAGGTTCAGACCTGTGGTTCATAGGGTTGCTAGGCGTGCTTGTTGACACAACCTCACTTAACTACCACAGCAGTAAAGGACAACCTCCCAGCTGTAGAGATTTCAATACTGCACAAGGGAAGTAGATGGATAATGAGCTAATAACACATGTGGGTTTTTGGAACAATATGTCAACAGAGAACTGCCAGATGTGCAGGCTGGATTTAGAAGAGGTCGTGGTACTAGGGATATTATAGCCAATGTTAGATGGATCTTGGCAGAAAGCAGAGAATACCAGAAGAATGTCTATCTGTGCTTCATTGACTATGCAAAGGCTTTTGACTGTGTGGATCACAACAAGCTGTGGCTGACTCTGAGAATAGTGGGAATCCCAGAACATTTGACTGTGCTAATGCGAAACCTATACTTGGACCAAGAGGCAGTCGTCTGAACAGAGCCAGGAGACACTGCATGGTTCAAAATCAAGAAGGGGGTCCATCAGGGATGCATTTTGTCTCTATACCTTTTCAATCTGTAGGCAGAACAGATCATCCGAGACACTGGGCTATACGAGGAGGAAAGCGGCATCAGGATTGGTGGAAGAGTCATCAACAACCTGCGTTATGCAGATGACACAACCCTGCTCACTGAAACTGAGGAGGACCTGAAGCACTTGCTGCAGAAGGTCAAGTACTGCAGTCTTCAATATGGATTGAAGCTCAACATCAAGAAAACAAAGGTTCTCACCACTGGGCCAATTGGCAGCATCAGTATGGATGGTGAAGAGATTGAAATGGTTAACAGTTTTCATTTACTTGGTTCCACAGCCAACACTCTTGGTAACAGCAGCCAGGAAATCAGGAGACGAATTGCATTGGGAAAGTCAGCTGTGAGGGACCTCCCAAGAGTACTGAAGAGCAATGACGTCAGGCTGGAGATTAAGGTGTGCCTGGTCCAGGCTATAGTCTTTGCAATTATGTGTTATGCATCGGAGAGTTGGATAGTAAATCGGGATGACAGAAAGAGAATTGATGCCTCTGAGCTGTGGTGCTGGAGAAGAGTGTTGAATATACCATGGACTGCTGGAGAACAAACAGGTTTGTCCTGGAGAGAGAGGGTGAAGCCAGAATGCTCCTTGGAGTCAAGGATTCTGAAGCTTCGTCTGACATACTTTGGGCATGTTGCAAGGAGGGACTGGTCCTTGGAGAGGGACATCATGTTTGGGAGAATGGAGGGATGGCGTAGGAGAGGAAGACCGTCAATGAGATGGATCGATTCTGTGAGTGGAGGGGTAGGACTGAGTGTGTTTGGGTCGGTGAGGTTGGCACAGGATAGAACGGTGTTTAGGGCTCTTGTACATAGGGTCGCTATGAGTTTTAAGCGACTCGATAGCATATAACAACAACAACAACATGCTCAGTTGGCCTAATGGACAGGAAGAGATGCTACCAAGCCAAAGGTGGGTGATGTGTCAGATGTGAGAATGGTTACCCATGGTTTACAGTGTTTGGTGGAGCTCCCTGATTAAAACAAGCTTGGAAGCAGGAGTGGCATCCACTTCCAAAATAGCTTGCCTCCGGAAACCCTATGAACCTGGAGAAATTAAGGAAGTTATACAAGTGTTCAGGTCTTTTGTTCATAGGGTCACTATGAGTCGCCTAAGACTCGATGGCACTTAACAACAACATATGTAGTACTGGCTCTGGTGGTTTAGTCCATAGGGAGTCGTGTCTCTCTGGGACTTCTAATGCACCAGTGACTTTATGGGAGAAAGAAGGGCAGTCTTCTCCTGTGCAGTTACAGCCTCAGAAAATCCACAGGAGGGCCTTCTATGACTCAGTACTGACTTGACAGTAATTATTTTATTTTTTTTTTTAGAAAGAGCAACCAGATCAATGGATCCAGATCACTCTCTTACTTTTCATTAATTTGCTTAGTTTTCCTTTTTTTTTTAATTTCTTTTGCGCATTCGATTTGTACATTACTTACAATTTCACCCAGGAGTATATGCTTAAGGGATTAAAGTCAAACTTTTAGTTGTTCAATTTAATAAAATTTATACAATAATATTTATATAACTGGTAGTGTATTTGAATTTGTATATGTTGCATATTTAATAGAGACCTGGCTCAATCAATAGTACCATAAGGATAAGTATATCAGGAATACATCAATGTTTTCTTTGTTGAGTCAATGAAAGGTCTTTCCAAGTTAAACAGGATGTTGACTCATTAACTTGCTAATTTTTCATCCTTGATATGTATATTACACTGCATATCCACAACTTTTGTTGTACCATCCAAAAGGAAATGAATATAAAATTGATAAACAAGTATTTATTGAACCCTGATTATGTGTCCAGTCTTGGTACCATGGGAAAGATGAAAAAATCCAAGAGACACTTTTATTTTTCATTTTCCTAAAATCTAGTGTGTGCTTTTAAGTCATTTACATTGCCAACTGAATAATCACATAAAATCCCTGCCAACCCTCAGAGACACTAGGATAAAAAAATTTTCCTTTAGAAAGGCACAGTTAGGTGAAGTAATGTCTTAGTGTTAGGCAGAAAGAGAACAACTCTTAACCGAGCAGCCCTTATCTAGGCTATGGTGGTGGTTAAAAAC